GGGTGCGGCGGTGGCGTTGGGACTGTTAGTGGTGGCTCCAGGCCTGGGCACTGCGGTCCGAGCGGCATCGGTGTGCGGCTTGGCAGCGTTGACGGCATTTGTACACAAGAAGTGTTCGAAGACGGCAGATGGCCAGTCAACAAAGAGGTCTAACGCATCCCATTCAAAAGAAACATCAAGATGGTCGAGGGAAAATGAACCCGGCCCAACATCAAGATGGTCGAGGGAAAATGAACCCGGCCCTATCGAATGCGGGAGGAGTACAACCTATAGAACCTCCCCGCCCGTCGATCGCCCGACCTCGTTCGACTGTTGCCGGACCGGCACCCCGAGGGTCACCAAGGGTTTTGTTTCGCCTTGCAGCCATGGCCGAATGCGGATGTGCGCCATGAAAGCGCCGCCGACAAAGCCGCCGCCTAGGCATGCGGGCTTGGGAACGGATGAGCCTTGGGAGCTTGCTCGCTTCATGTCGCCGCCGACTGGCCTGGACCGGTGGGAATGCCTTGGATGTGGCACCGCCAGTGGTGATTGGTGGGTGAGGGTCCTCAAGAGGCCTAGGGTGCGGCAGTTCCATCCGCTCCACAGGGGGACGCCTGTTTCGATCGGACGTCTCTCGCCAACCCGGATCACTGTGGCCTTCAGCCGGGGGAGCACAAGAGAAGCCTGGCGTCGACGATGCATCATCGATGACTGGGTGGAGAACAGAAATTCGGATGTCAGAGACTGCTATGAATGGTGTGGCTACACGTTCTTCTTCGAGAAGTTTGGCCCAGAGGCTGGTGCTGTGGAGGGCGAGGAAGCGCTGTCTTCGCAGGCTCAAATGCCGCTGCGGCCTGGAGCTGGAGGATCTCAACCCCGTGAAGGGTATGGAGGTGATGGCGGCACCTCTTCGCATGCTGCGGAGAGGGGTCGGAAAGCTGTGGAGGCCTTAACTGGCACTTCATTTCAGATGTCACGTGCCTATGACGGCACGGCAATCACTGCACGAGTCAATGTGACCTTGGAGGGTGTCCCCGCGAGCGGCTATGAGGCAAGGCGCCTTGGGTGCTTGAAAAGGGGAGAGATCGGGCCGTCCGCTTCGTCGAGGGCGGTGGACCTGAATGAGGAGGCTTGGAGGGTCTCGCTGGAGAGTGAGCGGTTAAGTCCGCCGGAAGCTGATGATCTGCCCATTTGGATGGGCGTTGAGACGCCATTTGTGAGGCCTCCTGGCCTAAGCCACGACAGCGAAGACTCGCGGTCGGTTGGAAGCTTTGAACTTTTGGGTGACGCTGCAGAAGAAAAAACCTGCAGTGGATCCCAATGAAGCCATGTATGCTGGCACCTTTGACCAGCATAGGGGGAGTGTGAGTGGAAAAGCACACGACCCAAAGCATACCTTTTTTCGTGAAGGTCATGAACACCTGAAAAGGTGAACCACCGGTCAAAACGACCTGCGTTTGGCTCAAGGAACAACGTGAGCGGCTGTTTTTTGTCGGTCGCTCTTGAGGCTTTTTCCATAACCACACATTCAAAGGGTGGGAGTCAAAGATTTGATCCTGGCACATATTACAAACGAAAAACCGGATGTGCACCGCCTGTTCCTCCTCTCTCGTGAGAGGAACAAGAAACACCCGGGTCCTGGGCAACACCGTGGTGTCCCACCAGCCTGATGGAGGCGGCCCTTGAGTACCGTCTCGAGCTCCTGAAGACACCAGGATGCAAGTCGTCAAGTCGGGGAAGCGAGGGAAGGGTGACTCCTGCCGAATCCACCTTGATTTTTTGGGGTTCCAAAGCCAGGGCCTCGTTCCACCAATCACCTTGTCTGCATCTCACGGGTGCTTGGTCGGAACTATAGGTGAAGTGTGGAAAGTGATTAGCACAGATCTTGAAGTCTTATCGACATATTGGCAACATCTTGTCGGCCCAGGAGCTCGTGGACAATCACCGTACACTGGAAATCATTCGATGCTCGATACTGCACTGCATGTGGTTACTTTGAAACAATACGCCAACACTGATGGCCCATGCTGAACCTCAACTCCCACACCCTACAATGTAGACTCTTGATTAATCAACCCTCCAAATGAAGCTGAGTTGGAGTTCTTGGTTGATATTTCCCGCCGCATCATCAAAGGCGGTCTTAGAACCTGGGAGTTTCCGTGTCTCGATTTCCCACCACGTTGAGCTTGGCTGCATGTCTTGGTCCTTTTCGGATTTCTGTATAGCGGACTTTTTCGATTGCTGTTGCAGTGGAACGCTGGCAGCACTGCTCTAGTCAGAGGGATCAAACCTTCCGGAGCGCGATGGGTAGAAGAGGTTGTTCAATCCAAATGAGGGGGTTATTGACAATTGATCAAGAGTCTACATTCAAGGCATACCCCAAAAGTTCCACACCGGTGTGGTCGCGTCCTTGGGCTCCAAAGAGGCCAGCCCTCCGGCGAGCAAGGGCTTCATCGTCTTCCTCGCGTGGTGCCAGGGTGGTGCCCTTCGTCGAAGGCGGCGTGGCGCCCAACGAACGTCCGCACCGAAATCCCCCAAAGGAGCTTGGTTGATCATGGTTCGCGAAGTGATTGACATGTGGAGCACCCCGAAGAAAACGGGGTGGAATGTGCACGGCCTTGAACTCGGGCCAATTCGGCCGAAGCAATGAATCGACCCCAAAGCAATCCGCCAATGAAAAAGGCTTCTCAGACATTACTTGCTGCTAGGGCTACAAGTAGGGCCTTCTTCTTCATGTTGGTCTCTCGGTGGAGGAGCCTGGCTTCCAATCCAAATCCTTTTTGATCCTTTCTGCATGGTCATGCATCATGCCCAGGTATGATTGCAGCCTCCCACCCCAAAAATGAACTGTGGCACGGTGGCCTATTCTTTCTGTCCACACACACACAGCTGTAGCATTGCAGGTCACGAGCGTGACAAGACGTCTGTCTGGCTGTCAGCCCCAAACCCAGCACTCCTTGTAGCTGTTTTGTGATTGATCCCAGTTTCCCCTGAGACTGAGACTCCAACCCGTTTTTGGCACGCCCCATGTTCATTGGCAGAACCAGTGCATCTGCATGCGTCCTATCTCTGAACCGTGGCAGCCAAGCGACTCTGCCTCCTCAAATTGCTGCAGGACCTCCAAGAGAGAAGCTCACACCAAAAGAGGCTCACTGTTATAGAACTGATAGAACCTCTCAGAAGTTGACACCGGCTCATGGCTGCTGTCCCCCAAATGTCATTGGTTGGTGTCCATGGGTGGGCAGGTGGAACAAGAGTTGAAGCCCACGCCCTGGACAGTATGCTCATTAAATGACCAGACAGCTGATGGGGGGAGAGCAACCCAACCCCTCATCCAGCTTAACAGAACCTGAGCGGTTCAGCCTGGCGTCCAATCCCTCACGACTCTTCACGTGGGTCCGCTCCCACATCCAGCTGAACCGACCGGACTCTGGGTCGCCTCATCGCAGCTGGCCTTGCTTTCGTACGCCCGCTGCGCCTGAGGGGATCCAGGAGTTCGGTCGGGGACCGGTGCCAGGTCCGTTGACGGCTGGGAAACAGCGGATGCCCCAAGTCCGCGAATCGCTGAAGGCCTAGGACCTTCCGTTTGGACCCTATAGGAGCGTAGCAAGTATACATCCAAGTGTCTCGGACTTAGCTGGCCAGCGGACCAAGTGCGGCGTCACTACTGGCTGCGAACCCCGTGTAGTTTATGAAGCACCGCTAGGTGTGAAACACCATGGAAGGTGCTGTGTGCGCCGTCAAGGTCGCCAATTCGAAGAATGTGTCAAATCAAGGACAACCCAAGACTGCCGCCCTACGATTTATTGGGCCCAAAAGGGAACCTCCACCGCGGGGAAAACCGAAGCCTACCAACCTCCTTTCAGCCTCCAAGCTTACCATCATTACCCCAGCAGCCGGCAAGACTGCAAGACCCACGCGACCACAGGTTGGGAAACAGCCCGGTAACTACACGATCCACACCTTGGCATATTGTGCCATCGCGCGTTCACTGATCTCCTTGCAGCGTGTCGGGTGTGGAATTGGTGCACTGGTCGTGGAATGCCCCTGTCTCAATGCAGTGACTTCAGTAGTGGTCAGCACGTCTTCCTTGCAAGTCCCGTCCAACATGCACGTCTTCCTTGCCGTGCCTGAAGCCGATTGACGTCCGATTCACATTCTCTTCAAACAAGTGCGGGTGGTTCTGTGGTATTTCTGGGTCGGCATGCTCCAACACGGCCGATCGACGGCGGGTGACTCACCGGATTCGCAGGCCGTTGCGGCTACGAAGAGCCCGTTCGACGAAGAGCCATCACTCTTCGTGTCGCACTGGTACTCCATTGTGGCTACATAGCTATGATCTTCGACATTGGGGGCCTTCAAGAGGATCGACGGTTTCAGTGTCCAACCACGTCTGCCCACTAGATGAATCCAGTAGCGGCCACCTGGCTACGAGGCAGCCTATTAAATGAGTTTTGGGTGTCTTTTTGGGGGATCCCGCCTCGATCCACCACGTTGCCAGACAAGCATCCCTTCGGTCTTCTTCATCATCATCGATGTCGCCCACTTTGGAAAAGGCAGAGACCATGGCCCGATGTCGCTCTATGTTCTAAGAGAATTGTTCTTATTGCTTCAGTGTGAGGGTAACATCCTAACGATCTTCTAAGATCTTCTAAGATATGCTTTTCTTCATAGGGTTCAGTAGGACGAGTGCTTTGAAGCTTCTTCCGGCACGCTCCAGACTGCGGATTTGAGCGGTGACTGCTAAACCATCCTGGTGGTGGAGGTCCCTCACCCGAACGCGCCGAAGAGCTGGAGAAGCGTCCAGGCATCACATGGAGAAGGTGAACTGAACCTTGCGAAGTAGGTTTTGGGGTCTGAGATTATTCTGCCCTGGCCCATCATCCATCAAAACATTGAAACATAGTTGAAAGCATTGAACGCACTGAAGCAGAGCCGGCCAATCTGAATCCGCTAGACTTGGTCCGCCGAGTCCGCTGTTTCAGCACTGACAGCCCAGCGCAACGATTGGGCGCCCGCGCTGAGAGACGGCTGGAGCGGCTTTGCACAGCCAAGTGCTGCTCGTCGATCCAAACGTTCTGTTTTCAAAGCCCGAGGTCGCGAGCTTGGGCAGGTCATGATGAGGGAAAAAAGATCAGGTGATGAGAAGATGACCCGCCCCAAGCGAGAAAATGCACATCTACAATTTGATAAACCACCTGAAGCCTTAAACCTTCACTGATTCAGTGGTTGCTCCTGCTTGAGGAGGCCGTCAAGCCAACCAAAAGCAAAATGGGAGGTGGGGAACATTGGGACATATTGGGAAACCACTGGAGTCTTCAGCAAAGCTAAGGTGGACCAACGACTGACTGACCACCTCAAAGTTTACACATTTCATGGTTTGAAGTGGTGGAGGATTTGTCATCAACTGTTCCTGTCGGGGGGATCTCGACCCTCCAGCTCTCAACTGTCAGCTTGATCCTCTCTGCACCCTCCAGCCTCGAAGGACAACGGCAGAACCTGAGCGAACTCGCAGCTTCCACCGACGGAAACGCGGACGGCCACCTCTGATGGTGGTCCCAGGATCAGAACTCACATGTGCCAGATCCAAACATGGGCGCAACAACTTGTTGGACCAAACACGGCAAATCGCGCTCCTTGGGCCCCGTGGCAGCGTGCTGGGTGGGGCCCACCACGATCTCCACCTCCTCTGCTTGGACCTGCAGCTCCGCCTAGGAACTGCAGGGGTCGAGTTCATGTCTCGGTGCCGCAGGTTGTTCATGGCACGGTCCAGGAACGCAAGCTCTTTCTATTGTATAGTTTAAGGAACCGCAGGAACCACGACTGGCCGTCTCTCAACAAAGGTTGGGTGCAACACGCAACTCAAGCACTGAACGCCAAAAAAAAGAGTCAACAATTGGAAAGGCGCCAGGAAAGGTCAAAGTTATCCAAAAGGCTTGAGGAATTCAGGTGTTGTGACTACCTGTGGGCCTGTGGGTCAAGAAACCGCATATCATCATTGGGTTTCAATCATTTGCTCATATATACACCATTGTGCAATAATATATAACACACACATGATTACACATGTGTCTATATATATATATACATAGGTCATTTTTTCTTGTTTCTATAGTCATATGAATCGTATGCATACATCTTTGTTTGAGAGCACGTTCTTGCATGTGGCTAGCTTGCCATCCAACCTGCTTGATGTCCAGAATTCCTTGCGTTTTCCCCGTCTTCTCCCACTGAAGACCTCTTCTCTCCGCTGAAGACTCGGCCTCGGAGTCGACCGGGGTGACCTCCAGCGAGAGCTTCTGCGTGCTCTTCGGGCCTAGGGCAGCGCTCGAGCGACGAAAGCACGAAGAAAGCAGCGCAGGCCCATCCGTCGTCCCAGAAAAAGACCGTCCGTGCTTTCGGTCGCGGTAGGTTGGTAGCACTGCCAAGAGTCTGACAGAAAACTGCTGATCTTGGTTGTTCGATGTTTGTCATGGCTTTGCAAGGACGCCAGCAGCTAGGACGAGCTACAAGGCCTCCTCCGCCAGACCTCCTGAGAGAAATTTGATGAACAATTACCCATCAAAATGCCAAGATCCCTCTCCACGTGAACCGTGCTGTGGCATGTCCTAGCTTGCCCTGTCCCAAACAAGAAACGACACCTACAGTATCCCCCTTCTACTTCTGCATGTTCATTCTGCTTGTACCAGACTTGTAGCAGACTTTTCCCAGCAGCCCTTCTGGGCAATTCCTGGCAGGCTGACATGTTCCCATCATCCCACTGCATCCCTCAGTCAAGACACTGCTTGGGCTCACTGCCCCTGGCGCGCTCCGCTCCACGCCCTGCGGGCCCTGATGGCCTTGCCGCTCGCCTCGCTCTGCTGCGGAGGCGATGCGCCGGAGTGCCTTCGAAGGAGGCCTCAGTCCGCTGGAGCAGGACACGGGGGATTTTGAATGATTCTTGTTGAAGGATGCCCCTTGACCAAACGACTGGAGGCTTTTTGGCAGGAAAGAACCTGAAGGCGATGTCCGACCGGCTCCGGCTCTCTAAAAATGCCAAAGCGCCAAAAACGCCCGGCTCTCAATCCCATGGAGGTCGGTCCAGTCTCTTTTAAAAGTGAAGGCTGACGTTTCTTTTCTGGAATTTTGCTTTTTTTGTGTCCGTCTTTTGGGTGAAAATACTTTTCCGGTATGGTTTTTCAAATGGTGTCATTGGTGAATGACAAGCAACATATATAGATTGCATTTCTCCACCCGTCTCTGTCATCCTTTCCCTTTGGGTTCTTTTTTGGGACGGCAGACTTCTAGTAGTGTCTTTTTGGACCTGTTCATAGACAAGTTAATTGTTAGTTCTTGCGCTTGTATGTTCAGGACCTTTCATGTTGCAAGTTTGGGGTCTGTCCAAAGTTCATTCTCATCTGAAGTCAGCAAGATGAGACCAAAGTCATTCACAAAAAGTTGAAACGACCCAAGCTCTGCAAACATGCCCGCCAATAAACTGCTGAGCCTTATGCATTTCATGGACGAGGCAACCAGCCATACGAACCCGTGAGGCTGGGGATGTGCTTCCTTCACTCGCTGATTGGGTCACCCTCTTTGTTCACAGAACACTCAGCCGGTCTCAGCCGGTCTCGGATTTTGAAAGCCACCGAAGTCCCCTGAAGACCGTCCTTTGTGAAGCTGTCTGGCACCAATCAATTCAGGTGGAGGGAATCCTCACGAGCCATCCAAGACGCTGCGGCATTGGCTCTCTTAAACCTCAAATGCCCAACATGCGCCACAGCCATTGCATGGTTTAAAAAACTTTTTGCTATACACTACATCAACTGCCACAGGGGGTGAGGGTGTATTCCACAAAATGCAAATCTACAAGTGGCACACATACCCAAACTACCTGCAACCATACATTCCACTGGGTTTGCTATGGTTTGCTCCTAGTATATACATTTTAGGAACTTACGTCATGTTGAGCTGTGCTCCCATGAAATGGAATCCATCCGACGAAGCCCTCGGGCCCGGACATTGCCCCTCATAGTTTGGTGCCCTAAGTCCTTTGCGTCATCTATATGAATTTCAAACATTGTACGCATCACAAATTACTTCCGCACATCAACAAAGGACTGGCCCTGCTCCAAGGATGGAAGGTGTGGGAAGTCAATTTGAGGTGACCTTCCTGGCAACACAAACAAGGATGTACTTTATGGTGTACATGTAATAAACGGACTCGTTCAGGGGCACCCAGTGGGTGAATGCGCGTGTACATTTCCTCAGTGCATATAGATACACCGCAATGATAAAATTGTATACCTTCAAGCATGCATGGCTCATGTTGCAAAATGCACCTCTTCTCCGCCCATGCTGGCTGCTAGCCCCGCCACTCTGCGCACGCATCTGCTTCATAGCGGGGGCCTCCAACGTCTGCTGCGCCTGCAAAGCCCTCTGATACTGCTGAAACTGGAGCAGCTGCTGCTGCTGAAGGTCGTACTGCGACATGCCGGACACCTGCTGCAGCCTCAGCTGGGCATGTCGACCAAGTCACCAGACCATGGCATGCGCATGCCGAGAAGAGTTGGACTCAAAGTCGATTGGTGCTTCAAGAGCTTCATCCCAACCGAAACGGCACGCAAGCTAACTAGACTCTCAGAAGTGCTCGCATGTATGTTTCCACTATTTGCATGCAGAATGTAGAAATATGTGCTTTTAACGACTATATATATATAATATGTGTATATACAGACATAAACCAATACAATGCATATCTGCGAAAGTCGCCCTTTTCTCGAAAATGCTACGGCCTGCGGTAAGTCGAATGTGAGACTTGAGTACATCTGAAAATGTTACGTACTCCTCCTTTGGCGGCGGAGTTTATGCTGTCTTTCTCCTTTTTCTCATGATCTCAATCAGCCAGCGATGAAAATCACCACTGTCTGTAGTTCTTCGCAGCTTCGCTGTGTCACCAACTCTGTTGTAGAACTCGATACTGTCTTCAAGTTTCAACAACTCTTCTCTTGCCTGCCATGACGCTCTGGCTCTCAAAGTGTCCATGTTCTCATCAACATCTATTGGTCCATCTGTTGCTTCTCCTTCTCCAGTTGCTCTCATTGCTACGGCATCTGTCATATCAACGTCATTGTCTAAACGCTCTGGTCCTTCAACTTCTGCTCCTGGTTCGTCTGGTGGTTCTAATGGTGGAGCAGCTGCGAGCTGCCTCTCATCCATTGTTCTTGGCACCAATTCTGCACTCAGATATGCCACTGAAATTTCAACTTCTCTTCCATCATCCAGTAGGACTGTGGCTGTCATGCCACTCAAATTGTCCTTCTTCTCTCAAGCTTGATGCCCCTGTACCAGTTCCTCTTATCGAAGGCGGTGGGGTGTTTTGCTCCACTTCGTCTCCTCCTCTTTTCTACTTGGTATCATGAGTCTTTCTGCCATTCTCTCTTGTCCCCATTTTTTGATTGCCTTTCTCAAGAAACTTCACGCATCTCTCTTCTTCTGTTGTCAATTCTTCTAGTTCCACATAGCCGTTCTGTTTCACTATGGCTCTGTGAAGGCGTTGACAATCATCATCTCTCATCGAATCAAATTGCCCTTGGTTGACCGAAGCCTCAATTTCGTCCTTTGCTGAACTCAATCCTAAGATCCGAAATCTCAAATCCAATTCGTATTCTTCCATCCTCTTCTCTAGATTCTTGTACTGCTTCCAGATCAGGAATACGCCAAATAGAACTACTGCCATTGCGAAAAGGATCACCCAGAACCATGTCCTTGACAAGTTCTCCTCCTGCAATCCCCTTTGTGTCCGCTCCAATCTGCATCAGTGAATGTCTCTCACAACCATTTCCGAGTTGATAGAATGCATATACCGACTTTAAATAGCCAACTAGCTTTTTCATTCTGCTCCTGCTCAATGCCGGTGGTGTCGGCATATAAGATGCAAATTCTTTGGTCGTGAAGCTCAAACCCAACCTTCCCTGTGACAAATAAATGCCGCTACCCGCTAGAGATCTGCGCCTCCTGAATCTCTGGTCCTGAAGGCACTTTCTGCTTCTTGGCTTGACGATAGAAGTCCTCAAGGTTCTTGATCATGTCACTGGCATACCGTCCTGGCATTATGTACAAGCGGTCATTCCCAAGCTTGTAGGTACGCTTAAGGAATTTGAATTTTTTTCTGGCTCACTGAGATTTCAATCTTCTCTCTCAGTTGTCCAATGAAGTGTTGGATTGCCTCCTCCTGGCCGTAGTACAGGATGTCATCGACATGGATAAGCACAAAGACTTGGTCTGCCCTTCTCCCAAGACATGCGTTCTCTCTGCACAATTCAAATCCAATGCTCCCTAGAAATTCAACTAAATGGTTAAACCATGCTTGAGCTCCTTGTCGTTGGCCTGGCGAATTCTTCGACGCCCGAAATCCTCCTAGGTTCATTGTTACCTGCAATTCCTTCTTCTGATCCACTTGTCGGAATGCGTCTTTGATGTCCAAGCTTCCCATCACCGATGTCTTCTTGCTGAACTCTAGTCCTCTGTCCATCAAAAACATCACTGGTAAAAGACGAAGTGCATGGGCACTTGAAGTAACCGAACGTATATCATCCCTTTTGGTGTTTGCAAACTCCCTTGCCACAAGACGCCCTCTTCTAAGCCATTGTTTCTGTTCTTTACCATTCTTGAATCCCCTTGTCTTGATCCGCCAGTCGTGGACAAAGCGAGCCGTAAGGATCTCCAAGTCTTGCTCTTCCTCATGAAGATCCCGCGACACTCCTTTTTTTCAACCGCTTTTCCTCGACTTTGTCTGCATGTAGATCTACTTCTGCTGGTGGTTGTCCTGGCATTGAACTCAAAGGCTCATTACTCCACAATTCATCTGGAATCTCTGTCTCTTCTTTCCTCCTGAAAGTTCTCTTCAAGAGCCTCGAAGTGTTCTTCAGTGACTTTTCATCCAATTGGTACATCTCAATGTCCTGACATCGCGCTTTCTCTAATCGCTCTTGAATCACCTGAGCCCGCAAAGAACTTTACGACGACCTTTCTTCTGTTCTGATTCTTCTTGGAGCTGTTCTGAGATGACTGCACTTTCCGGTGGTGGTGTCTTTTACGAAGCTTTCTCCCTGAGATGACTGCACTTTCCGGTGGTGGTGTCTTTTACAAAGCTTTCTCCCGTGGAAGATCCTCGAAGATTACATCTTCCATCTTTTCCACAGGTCTGTCTTCTGGTGCAATCTCTGGTGCTCTTGGTTGCCCAGTTTTTGCGGTTCAGTATGAACAGGTGGCGCTGGTGCTCCTGGATCTATGAGAAGTTCTCTACCAAAATGTTCTGCAACTTCTTGAAGTTCTTTCATAGTTTCTGCTCTATCTTGTTACCTTGGTAAGACTTTGCATGGTTCTCCACTTCTTCCGCATCGATGTCACGATACCTATAGGTAATGACTTCCAAAGGTGGCATTGGCCCATTCCTCAATGCTTGAGCTCCAATTGCCCTCTTTGTAGGCACGATGCGTCCTCCAAAGTTTGTCTGAAATTCCCATGATGCTGAGGAAAACCCCATGTAGTAAGCAAGAAATCTGATCCAAAGGTCTATCCACTCTTCTCACACTTCAAGTCAGCACGATCTTTTCACCATCTGATACAATCCAAGCATCTTGTCCATCAGTCTTGCCAAAGAAAAAGTCATCTTCCACTTTGGATCTCCTTTCGGTGGGTTAAGAGCTTGTGACCTCACATAGGCATAGGCTGGACATCCGAAAGGCACGATGCTTCCTGCGTATTGTTTCCCATGAACCAATTCAATAGCTGTTACTCCATGATAGGCTTGATATCCGCTCATGATCCAGCAAGAGTGCTTGGCTGCCCATGACCACAATGGGTTATTGCTATTCAACCTCACTTGATTTCTTGACATCAAATCCCCCATGACGGTACATGTCAATCCTCGTTCTCGTTGCACTGCATTCTCTGCCAGCGAGTTTCCAGCACTATCACGAATACGGGGTGTGAGAATTGTTGTTCTCAATCCAAGTACATGCCTGCTGCTCAACAGCATCCTCAAAATCGATCTGATGGTTGGCTCATTGTCTCCATAGAAAGCTACTTTGTGGTGACCTAGGTGTTGACAAAATGTCATGACCTCCTTTGCTGCAAAGTTGGTTTGGGCTTTGCTCTTCAATGGAGTTGCTGCTACACGTCCTGCTTGTGAAAATGTCATGATCACCCACATTGTCCCTTCAATCCTTTCTCTCCACTAGGTTCGCCTTTCTCTTCTGCTTCCTCTCCTTCTTCTTCGATTAGGATTTCTTGGATCTCTTCTATCGATAAGGCCTGCCTTGGTGCAGCAAAGATCAGACTGATGACCGGGATACCTGGCATTCTGGCTGCTCCAGTTCGAAGGTGTCTATCTTGTCTTGCACTATGTAGAAGGCAACTGTCACACCATGGAGCGAAAGGTGTATGAATGAGTGCATGTTTCTGCTGTTCTTCTTCCGTGGGAACTGGTACAATGGCTTGTCCTCGTGCCTCTCTTGACACTTCTTTCCTCGCATTGGCTGCTACCTCTGCGGCTGCCTCTTTCAAATGACTCACGACTCTCTGGAAGCATGTCAACTTGCTCCCAGATTGTGAAATCCCGAAAAACTTGCAAGCTGCTCGAAGTTCACGAAGTGGACCCTCCTTTGTCAAAGTGATGCCAATCACCTCAACTTCCTCAGTGTCTGGACTACCCAGCACCAATCAACCCTCTTGAATTGTAGGGTCTTGCTCGTACATCTGCCAACGTTCAATCTCCTCATGTGCATGTTCCCGTTCGTGCTCTGCAGCTGGAATTCCGAATTCTGGAAATCCTTCACATGGTTTCTCCCTCTCTTTCAACGGCTCCAAGACTTCAAGGCCAAGATCCTCTGGTCCAAGCTCACCTGCTGACAAATTTGTCAACACTAAGCCTCTCTCCTTTAAGCCTTCCACTTTCTCCCCTTGCTCCATCTCAACCAACTTCCACTTGCCGTGTTCCTTCAGGAAGGTAGTCCTGTCCCAGGCTATCTCCTGATCAATACCACTCACCACAAGAGGTGTCTGATGATTCGTGGGCGGGCGAATCTTATCACACTTACTTCCATACTTCTTCCACCCTGCCTGTGGCTTGAGTCTCTTCTCGAGCTCGCTTCCGGGCTTCACTTCCACGGCATCTAGGGCTCTCACGAAACATGGTAATGCTTCCACCTTGCGAATCTTCGCCTGCGCAATCAGGCTCTTGCGCTCCATCTCTGAGGGAATCTTGACCTGTGACCCAAAGCAAAGAGTCTTCTCCTGGCCATCTATCCCCCATCCAGCTTCTAACAATCTCCCGAACGACAAGATAGGTTGCCGAACTTCGTCTGCAAAGCGGGCCTTTTCATGCACCTGTACTTCACGGCCTTCTTCTGTTTGCATGATGAAGCACACATCCCTCAGTCCTTTCACTTCAATCTTCGTGCCTTGAGCATCATAAAGATGATGTGGATTCTCCTGAGATGGTTGCCCCACCTCTGTGAGCATTTCACTTGGTAAAACTGTGGCATCTGCGCCACTCTCTTCATGTCAAATGAAGACCAGCCGAGAATGGCATTGAGTATGCCGAGAGATCTATTCCGGCTTGCCGGCTCCAAGGGGCTCAAAAGTTGTCTGTAGGCTTCAATAATCCTGCCAAAAGGCTATACAGGAATGAACTGCGGCTTTTCTCCTTGTCTCCCATCAAAAAGCTGTCAACTTCTGTCGATGGGTTCTTTCTCAGCGCTTCAAAGTCAGCAAGGTATTCGATATCAAAGGATGCTATAGGTACTGTTCCACTGGCCGTGCAACAAAATCACGCCACATCGACAATTCCTCTTCTCGACTCTTAGGATCAAATACTCCAGGCTTGGGCAATGTTTTATACCAGCTCTTTTCCTCATGTCTTTGGCCCTTTAGCTCTGCCAAAGCTTGAGCCGCTACTGTAGCTGCTGTGGGTGCAGCCTCCGTTGGCCACATCATTCTCCTCGCCAATTCTGCTCCATCTATCTTCTGGCCCGCGGCTCCACTAGGGCTTCCAGCTGGGCTCATCACCAGAGAACCCTCCGCACCAGCCATGGCATTCTGCAAATGTTACGTAGTACAAGTAGTTCCCGGGCAAGCCGGTGGCGGAAGTTTCCTATAAGAACAAACTGACCTATATAGGAGTGTCCCGGTTCTTTCCACCATGCGTGTCCCTCGTGTCCCTCAGTCAGACGCATGAGTGATGAGTGATGAGTGAAGCATAGCTCTAGCTCTAGCTCCACTATATAAAGCTAACTGGAGCTAGACGTTAACTATGATGTGAAAGCTTGTTTAGACACGAAGCTAATTAGCTCAAATTTGCCAACCTCTCAAAACACGTGCATTGAGGTCTCCACAGCAGCCGCGAGAGATGACTCAGCCGCGAGAGATGACTCATCCGCGTATTAAAGTTGTACTACCAAGTCGCCAGTTCTCATCTTCCAGCTCCCCAGATACTCCGCGTACTA